GGAAAACTTAAGCTCTAGACCGCAGCTTTCATTTGATAAAATTTAGCTTTATCTTGAGGGTGTATCATTATGTATCTTCTCAAACTTCCCGTACCCCCCCTCCCCCTGATCATCATAGTTAAAAGACATCTCTTGCCACAAGTTTTACACTTAGCTTTATTTCTTTCTCTTATTTGAATAAAAAATGGCCAAACAAGAGAGTTTCGGCACGTTTAGAAGGTTGTCTAGAAAAAGTAGGGATGGTAACAGGGGGGTCAACCGGGGCATCATTTGGATTAGTTGGGTTAACTTGAGTAAAAGATCTAGTGGATGTATCATCATCCGGTTGCATTTCATCTAAATCTATTTCCTGCTCATCTTCTTCATCAATAGTTGGGTTACCATAAAGAGAATTCATATATTCATGATCTAAGTTTTCACCACCTCCAACATTATGCACATATTGACTCTCTGTAAATTGTAATAAAGTATTATCACTATCAAGAATAGGAGCAGGTGGAGGGCGGGTATGGGGTTTGGGTTTGCCAACGACTATTTTGGCAGCAATAACGGCTACATTTTAAAGGTGCAACGGTCAGAAATTGAATTGGGAATTTTTTTTTAAAATTAGCCGTTAGGAACCGGCCCACTTAGGAGCCGGTCCCGGGCCCTAACGGTCTCGGTCCTAACGGGCCCCTACTGTGAGCCGGCCCACATGGGCCTGTATGTCTCCTTTGTGCCGGGCTTAAACGTGTAGGACCATTAAGGCCCACTATCCATATGGGCTCGCAGGCTTGGGCCGGTCCCGGGCCTAACCGGCCCACTTGCCACCCTTATCCTAAACCAAGTGACAAGAAATGTACCAATGCTGGCTTTTATGACCTTTCACAACGCTGGCTTTTATGACCTTTCACAACATATCGTCCCTTCTGTATTATCTGAAATAAATTTCTTTTAGAAAGATGAAGGTTGGGTAATTTGACACTTATTGTATATTTTCTGTTTGTATCAAATTTCTCTGTAGTGAAAACTTACTACTTGGAGTTAAGCATTGACCTACTCTTCTAGAGAAATATCTGTAAAGGTATATATCTGTCTTCTTTTCTTTTTCCAAAATATCAAAGAGATGCATTCTATATCTAGATACAAATTATATTTACTTCCTGTACATGCAGCAATTTCGATAATTTAGCAAAATCCACAACAACTAGACCTTACCCCTACCTGGGGTAGAGAGGCTGTTTCCGATGGACCCTCGGTCAAGAAGATGAAATGCGACAATAGAATAATCACAACATAACCAGAAAGACAGTACCATGCTACCAACGAGCTAAGAATCAGAAAATATACCTGGAAAAGCAATATCAATAATAATTTAGCAAAATCATAAGTTAGAATCATAAACAAAATTTGACAGCCATGCACAAGAAATGGTATCAGGTAAGAGTTAACTTACTGGGAAAAAATTAGACAATATACACAACTGAACACTGAGTTCATTACAGAGTACATTTGCTTTTCACAGTGAACCTCCATCCTTCATTCTCGGAGCATGTTACAACTCAAAAAAAGAAGTTTATCATCACCATCTCGACATACAAATTTATCTTTACTAACTTCCTAAAAACTACAATACAACACAACTCTGAGCAATCGACTCATGTAATAATGGTGTTGCTTTCTGTCCATCTAAAACATAAATTGCAATGGCTTTGACGAGAACATAGACCCCTCTGGCTTCACGAAAATGGATGAAAGTCCCAAGTAAATAAGAAACTAGCAAAATATTCCATAAAGTAATGCCAAATGAAGTAGTAATAGTAAAAGAATTGAGAGTGACAGACTCCTCAGTTTTAAGCCTCCTTCTGAACTAAAGGGTATTAAGGTTCCACACCAATGCATAAGCTCGTATCAGAAGCTGAAAATAAAAAATTGTGAGTTTCATCCTAACAGGATTGGACAAGATGCCTAACCCTATAATGCAAGTGTTACCACCAAGTTTTGATAGCTAAAAGAGTAAATGGCTAACCTGAACCAAAACATCAAAAATATGAATTCTCATAGCTTTACTCAAAAAGAACTTGTAAAGTTTATTGAAAGGTCAATCTTTTTCCAAAGACCTTCAGAAACTTATATTACTACTTTGCAAACCATTATTCAAGGGATTCTTCCATTATCATCCTATTCTTAGTTCTGCTATGATTATTTCAGCTTATTATTTTTGGGCTAAAAAAAATTGAGTCTCTGAAATGGAAAAGAACAATAAATTGCATCATTCCTTACATATGTAATTTCCAACATACACAGGTTGCAACAACAACAATAACAACAAACCCAGTATATTCCCAGGGGAAGGTAATATGTACGCAGACCTAGCCCCTACCTAATGAAGGTAGAGAGGTTGTTTCCAATAGACTCTCGGCTAACATACACAGGTTGTAGAATAACCATAATTTTCAATAGTTTTCTATGGTGGTGAAGTGAACAATAATGAATCAAGTAACAATAATGAAACAAGCAACAATAATGCCAATACACCAAGTATTCACGGCATTTAGAGACTAGAATACATCTTGTCAAAGAAATGGCAACAACATACATCTTGTCAAAGAAATTGAGACATTTTTGTACTAAGCATCCACAACCCAAGTTGTAGTAGGGAATTTTTTGAGGAGATAAGTGGGAATATAGATGATCGAATATGACTTTAGTAACATAGACAAGAACATTTTGCCTTGTATTGCTATGACAATTACTAAACCTATATTCAATTACTATAATATTGCACTTATCTCCTCGAAAAATCCACTATATACCACTAAGTTAAATGCATAGTCCAAAATGTCTCCATCTCTCTAACAAGATATTTCTGGGAAAATCAGAGATCGTCTCAATCTCATCTTCTTTGGTAGCAATCTCTTTATCACATTCAATCTTGATCATCATTCTGTTAACAAATAACCTTCAATATACCTCAAGGTTAAGGATTATACAATAGATATTTTCAACTCATTATGCAAGATATTCTCCTTTTCCATATTAGGGAATCATTTTGTTTTGACCCAAATCAACATTTCACTTATGCATGTTGGGATTTTTTAATTAAATCTGCCTTTACTCTTCAGGCTAATTTCCCACGGCCAGTAGTGAAACAATTTATGTATATAAACACTTAGAATGGAAGGGTTTGCTCATAGATATGAATAACCAAGCAGAGGCAATCTCATTTTATGGGTTCTAGATTATAAAACAACGAATACAAGTGCTAATAATTGATTTCTAAACATTTTTTTTTGGTTTGCAACTTACCAGCCTTGAACTCTTCAAGTGAACCTCATAAATATAGTCACATCAATTGTTGAATTTATTTAATATTTTTAGTAAAAATTAGAATAGTTTAAAAGACTTTCTAGGGATAAGTAAATAAAGATATATTTTAAAAAATAAAGTGAGTTCCTTCTTGATTAGGTAAAACAAGACATATTTTGAACCAAACTAAAAAGGTTAAAAAAAAATTCATTTATTATGGACAGGAAGTAATACTATTTATTCTCATATTTCAATGACAAATTTAGATGGAATATTTTCTGTTTTCGTTGATATTTTGAAGGGTCTTTGTGAAACCATCACATAAGATTGGATGGAGCTCTTCAATTAAAATTGGATACAGAGCGTATCATCAATTGTAGTTCCCTTAACGTCCAGAAGCAACATAAATTTTGTTGCACTGGTTTTAAGGAGATCATCAATTTGGCTTCGAATTACGACAAGCAAATCTTATTAAAAAAGGAATAAAATTGCAATTCTATCGGAATTGAAGCACAAAACTTTCAGGGAGAAATAAAGTAGCCAAAGAATTTAACAACAAAAATTAAAATTTCCATTATAAAGGCAGATTTATGATCTCTATGTATTTGTATAACAATCTTTTTTTTTCACGCACAAATAATTGTAGGCAAAGAGAGTTTTGAAGGGAGGAAAGAAAAAGAAAAACCTTGATGCAGCAGAATGTTGGGAGTAGAACGAGGTGAAATGTCTGCTGATTAGATTAGGGTTTTATTAATAAAAAATAGGGAAATGGAGAATTGAGTCTTGGGCCGGGCAGGACGCCCCTGTAGCCGCTTTGTCTTTCTGTTTGCACCCGTACACACTTTTTAAAAAACTTCAGCTTCCCCTTCTTCTTCTTCTTCTTCTTCTTCTTCTTCAGTACCACAACTCTTGCTCTTCACTGTAGTTAGTGTTTGAGATAAGCCTTTACAAATAGAATATGAGATTGGAACTTGCTAGTTTCATGCTTTGCGGTAACTGAAGAAGATAGATTTTCTGGATTTAGCTTTGCACGATATGTAATCGTCAGATTTTCATTGACCATTCTAACAAATTTTAACGGGAAATAATATGTAGCTACTTAAACATGATATTTCAAGACTATCCGCCAAAAATTGCTAGATATTTCCATGTAATTCCTTTGATGAATGTACAAGAAACAGTACAAGCAACAAAGACAAAAACTTCAGCTCTAGAGCTGAAGTTTCCTAGTTACAACATAGAAACTTCAGCTCTTTATTTTATAACTGACAAACTTCAGCTGTAGAGCTGAAGTTTTCCGGTTACAAAGACAAAAACTTCAGCTCTAGAGCTGAAGTTTTCCAGTACAAAAGAAAAACTTCAGCTCTAGAGCTTAAGTTTTTATTTTATTACTGGAAAACTTAAGCTCTAGAGCTTAAGTTTTTATTTTATAACTGGAAAACTTAAGCTGGAAAACTGCTTAAGTTTTTATTTTATAACTGGAAAACTTAAGCTCTAGAGCTTAAGTTTTTATTTTATAACTGGCAAACTTCAGCTGTAGAGCTGAAGTTTTCTGGTTACAAAGACAAAAACTTCAGCTGAAGTTTTCCAGTACAAAAGAAAAACTTCAGCCCCGTGGGCTGAAGTTATGTGAAAAAGCGATATCCCATTTGGAATTCGATTAATTTGTATTCACGTCGAAAAATTTAATGAAGAGTAAAATACTTAATAAAGACAAAATTGATTGTTTCTTTTTTACCCTTAGTAATAATTGTTCTTGAAGGTGGAGATAATACATCAATAGAATAAATATTTAATGAAGAGATAGATAAGGGTAGAATAGTCCAATCCCTTTCCTAATTAATATTTTCTAAAGGACATGTAGAAGAGAAACACGACATATAATATGAGACGGAGGGAGTACTATATAGTAAAATTATCTAAAAATGCTTGAAAACCCCATAATGGTTATTTAACTCTCTAAATAATACTAGTAGCTTAATATTTTTTATTGATGGAGGAACTAGTCTAGTTTGATTTCTCATAATTGAACCAAGCGTACGAGAAGTTGACCTAAGTGATTTTTGCTTCTATATGCACGGTTGGTCCAAATTTACCAATATTCATAATTATCGTAATAGCTGACAATTGACACCAACGATATATATAAGAAAGAAGGTTTGGTAGCTATTAGACATCCCTTTCAATGAATTTATCTCATTTTCTCAAAACCCACAAATTCACATGCTTTCAACAAATCAATGATGATGTCTTCAAGCACAATATACATTAGCAGTGCATAAGTCGGTTTGATTTGAGTTTTGATTTGCTAAATTTATAAATCAAATCGAATTAACAAAATTTTTTTTTATAATTTTGATTTTTTTATTCCTCGGATTTATTTAATTTTGTTTTCGGCAAGAACTTTCCAACATAAAATATGTAACTAGTAGTTGAAATATTTCTTTTGCTCCAGTAAAATACAACAATTATAGCTCAACATATAATTATTCATATATTTTATTTGTTATTTTCCATGGTTTAAGCTTTAAGTTTTTTCTTTTTTTGTGTATCAGAGTGTTTTATATTCTGATTCAAGTTAGTATGACGAGACCATTTGTTTAACTTGACAATATTTTGAAGCAGTATGGTTACAATGTTTTATTTTTGAAAGGTAAACCGGAGATTATATTACTAAACAAAAGGTTACATAGTCAATACATAACCCCTGAAGGCATTATTGTTGCCTAAAGTGGCAAGGCTATTACAAACAAAAGTAGGAAGATACTTAATACTTTTTGCGATGACCCAAAAGGTCATCACTTGATTTACAAATAAATTCTGTGTTTCGAGGCCTTAGTAGCCTCCCTTTTTCTTACCTCGATTTGCGCGTGCAGTCCGGGCGCGTTTCCGGAAAGTTTTTATGTAAAAACTAAGTAAAATATGGAAATTGGCTTTTAAAATTGAATAAAGTTGACCCTGGTCAACATTCTTGGTAAACGGACCCGGACCTGTGATTCGACGGTCTCGTAGGGTCCGTAGTAAAATATGAAACTTGGGCGTATGCCCGGAATCGAATTCCGAGGTCCCAAGCCAGAGAAATGAATTTTTAAAGAAAATTATTTTCTGGAAAATATAAAGGTTTTTAGAAGTGAATTGATGCATTTTCTTGATGGTATCAGGCCCGTATCTTGGTTCCGAAGTCCGGTACAAGTTTGAAATAATAATTAAGTTAAATCTGTAAAATTTGATAAAAATCGGAATTGGTTTGGTATAAAACGGACCTACAGTTGAGAAAAATAGTAATTTTGATGTTCTTGAGTGATTTCATTAATTTGAGGTTTAATTCATAGATGTTGATGTTATTTTGATGATTTGATCGCATGAGCAAGTCCGTATGATGTTTTTGGACTTGCGTGCATGTTTGGTTTGGAGGCCCGAGGGCTCGGGTGAGTTTTGGATAAGCCACGGAGTGAAATTTGACTTAGGAAAACTGCTGTGTGTTGCAGGTCTGCAGGCTTTGGCTCGTAATTGCAAGCTCGCATTTGCGACTAACCATTGCATTTGCGATGACTGGGGGTGGGGGGGGGGGGGGGGGGGTGACCTTCGCATTCGCGAAGCTCCAGTCGCATTTGCGACTCCAACAATGTTTGCATTTGCGAACGGTTATTCGCATTTGCGAGGTTGACAGGGCAGGCCTTACTTCGCAATTCCGAAGCCTTGGCCGCAATTGCCAGTTCGTATTTGCGAACATATCATCGCAAATGCGATAGCTGCGCCTGTGTAAATCATAACTTAGCCGAAAATTTTTCATTTTTCAAACCTTCTCAAAACCTAAACTCTCTTGGGCGATTTTCTAAAGAAAAGTTCTTCTCCAAATTAATTGTAAGTCATTTCTAACTCGTTTTCTTCAATCCAGAACATCTTTTCACATGATTTCAACTCAAAATTAAGGGTTTTCATGGGGAAAATTGGGTGTTTTGGGTAGAACTTAGGATTTTCAAATTTTGAGGATTTGGACCTCGATTTGAGGTCCAATTTCAAAACAAATTATATATTTGGGTTCGTGGGTGAATTGGTAGTCGGGTTTTGTTCAAACCTCGGGTTTTGACCATGTGGGCCTGGGGTCGATTTTTTGACTTTTTGGGAAAATCTTTAGAAAACCTATTTTCATGCACTAGAATTGATTCATTAGCATTTATTGATATCGTTAAGTAAATTGTGGCTAGATACAAGCGAATTGGTGGTGGAAACATGAGGTAAAGCGGTAGTTGAGGCTTGAATTGCGTTCGTGGCATTGAGGTAAGTGTTTGGTCTAACCTTAGCTTGAGGGATTAGGAGTCATGTCTTATTTTCTAAGTGTTAATTGTTGAGTACGACGTATAGGTGTGGTGACGAGTATCTATACGTCGGGGTCAAGCATGCCCGTGAGTCTTATACTATGATCGTTTTGACTCTGTTTCGTATTGTTCATGTTTATATGATGATTTCTATTGTTGAACAAGGCTTGTGAAAGCATTATTGGTAATTGAACATTGTAGAGCGTTGGCTCAAGTTGAGAGTTGATTTGTGAAGTAATTGTGGAAAAGAGAAGAGGTTTATGATATTGTGAGTCTTATAATATGGTTAATGTGACTCTATTTCGTATTGTTCATGTTTTATATGATGGTTCCTATTGTTGAACAAGGCTTGTGATAGCATTAATGGTAATTGAACATTGTAGAGCGTTGGCTCAAGTTGATAATTGAGTTGTGAAGTAATTGTGGAAAAGAGAAGAGGTTTATGATATTGTCTCCCTTGCCGGGATGTTATTGCTTTTGATATTATCTCCCTTACCAGGATGCTATTACTCACGATATTGTTTCCCTTTGCCGGGATATTATTGATATGCTTTTGTTCCCTTGCCGGGATTGTATTGTGATATTATTGATTTCCTTGCCCAAATTGCTTTGTGATTGTTGCTTGGGTGAGGAAGAGTGTAAAGCACGAAGGGTGATGCCGTGCGGGAGTTTGAGAGTGTTAATGCACGAAGGGTGATGCCGTGCCGATATTGTGAGGTAAAAGCACGAAGGGTGATGTCGTGCCGCACGATGTAAAATGTCGTGCCATGATATGAGTGATTAGGGGTGTTCATGGTTCGGTTTGGATCGGTTTTTCCCTAAAAAGAAACCAAACCAAGTAAGTCGGTTTTTCAAATATTAGAACCAAACCAAATCAATTTTAAGTCGGTTTTTCTCCATTCGGTTTATGTCGGGTTTTGTCGGTTTTTTGGTTTTTTCGGTTATTTGTCGGCTTTTTCTTAAATATAAGACATATACTACCAAACACATATTCCGGCGACCACAATTTCAACGTAACACTATCAAATCAATTGCCCTTTGAGAAATCTATTATTTACCAAGATATATTGATGATAATTGAATTAAATAGTGATGAATAATTTAAGGACTCAATTAAAAATATATTATTTTTAACACGAAATGAATTCTTTTACTTAACAAAAGAAAAATACCAATCAAATTAGAATGTAAAGGTAAAGAAGTGCAAACTATTAACATTTACTATAAATTTTTTGAAACTTTGCATAAAAATATACATATATAGAGGTGTAATAATAAATTTGGAATAGCTACTCCTATAGTCAGTTTGGTTCTGTTTTTTCGATTTTTTTCGGATTAAAACCATAACCAAACCAAATTTGATCGGTTTTTAAAATTCAAAACCAAAACCAAAACCAAACCAAACCAAAA